TCTCCCTCCTATACGAAGGATGTTGTGAAACTAGAAAGGGGTTCAGAAAAATTTATGACGATGTTGCCAGGGTTGGACGTTTTGAACCATAGGGAGAGGCAGAGTAGGCTGGGGTTATTTTCCTTGGAACATTGGAGGCTAAGGGGTGACCTTATAGAGTTTTATAAAATCATGAGGAGCATGGATAGGATAAAACAGGCAAGGTTTTTTTCCTGGGGTGGAGGGAGTCCAAAACTAGAGGGCATAAGTTTAAATTGAGAGGGAAAGATATAAAAGGGACTTAAGGGGCAACTTTTTCAGAGGATAGTGTGTATATGGAATCAGCTGCAACAGGAAGTGGTGGAGGCTGGTACAATTACAACATCTAACATACATCTGGATGAGTATATGAATAGGAAGGGTTTCAAGGGATATGGGCAAAATGCTGCCAAATGGGACTAGATTTATTTAGGATATCTGGACGGCATAGACGAATTGAACTGAAGGATCGGTTTCTGTGCTGTATAGCTTTGTGACTTTGCTTGGCAACTGGGAACAAAGATCTACACTAACTTAATACATCAGAATTAATAGCCAAAGTGCTACAAAATCCCCAGAACATACAGAACATATTAGAAGTCTGATTCAGAATGATTATATCCACCGCTGTGGAAGCTTTACAGAAAGATACACTGATGAGCTGAAATATTACAGTGTTGAAGTGTTACTGAAGGATGGGCTTAACTATGAAACAATCCTCACAGCTTAGAAGTTCAGTTGTGATGCTGGACACAATCACTACAACACCCAGTCATAGCAAGTCATGTAAAAGGTGTCTGGCCTTTTGTACACACCAATTAAATGCCTCACTTTCAATCAATTTTGCTGGGCATGTGGCATAAAGGTCACTGGTACAGGTAGTGCATTAGAACAAAGGCAAATGCAGCTAGAAAGATCCGTTTACCAACCCAAATGTACCATACACAAGGAGTACCTTTAACTTACAACAAAGACCATTTGGCATCCCAGCAGAGGTGTATACATCAAGTGATCAACAAACCAGAATCTGATAGTGTATATGATGAAACAAAGAATGGTGAACACATGTTTCACACTGTCAATCTCATAAAAATATCGTCATCAAATCATACAAAGTGGGTAAAAAATTCAGATTATCTTTCTTCAGAGAACTGGTGACTGTTTATTATGAGGGCTAAGATTGGTACAAGGTCAAGTGTCAAAATACTTCCCCTGAGAATCCTAAACATCATATACTCACAAACATGCGAAAGCCATGATGAAAGCTATAAATGTAAAATGTTCAGCATACTATGGTTCACCAATTCCACGTGCAGGATCAATAATGATGAAGTGTAAATACAATCGGTCCATCTGGATGTCGCAGATGTTTAACATTGTGAACACTACCTTACCAGAAAATGCAAATATACCAGTACGCTGTGACATCTCGCTAGTCACAATCTATGGAATCAGTCAAATATTTGAGCATAGCAGAAACTGTAGCAGAGTATTCAAAAGAAATAGTCCTTAAAATGCCTGGAAACTTAACAGTGCTGGGTGAGAATGAGGTAATATATTTGACCAGCTGAAGACTAAAACATTTTTAAGATTCAAAGAATCCATGGTTTAAAACCAGAAGCTTCAAAATGAGCTGCAAGCTCTTAAGGAACAAATGGTAGATGCCAAGAAATTTTAAACCACTTGAAATAGTTGATGAATGAAATCAGTTAGTGGCTTGACAACACAAGCAGGAATGATGGGCAATATCGCCAATGTCTATAAAACTCAACAACACTTCCAGACAAAGTCGTCATCACAAGATCTGGATATTTCCACAAATTACCTACAGGAATTATCCAGACACCCATAGGTTCACTTGTTCTTGTAAATAGTTAACTATCATTTTGGAAAGGAGAGAAATGTTTTTTGTTTAGTTTGCCTTGAAGAGAGTTCAACTTTAAGGACTCCATGTGCTGTACGCAAACAATGATATAAGTCTGCCAGCTAGATAGTCTGCTATGAGTTTGGAAGCTATATACACAGAACCTAGTTGCTTTGCTGTAATATCTACTTTATACTTATGATGAGTTTTACTACATTTTAATAAACTAACCCATTATTAATTAATCCCTGATGAATAATTGATTATTAGATAATTTCATAAACATGACAGAAGATAGGCGCAGAAGGGACAAAAACAAAAGGAGGACCTGTTTCAGTCCATAGCCCAATGCCATGACTACTAGTATAATTGACTGAGAGAGAGAGAGCATGGACCATTGAAGATAAGTCGGTCTGATGCCACTTACTGTAGTTCGTTGGGTATCTTACCTTTTCTATTTCTTCTCAACTTCTTTCGCTCACACACTCATGTGCCGTCACAAAACTGGAGTTAATGGGAATCTGGAGAAAACTCTCTGTTCATTGAAGTCATAACTGGCACAATGAAAGATGATTGTGTTTGATGAAGGTTAATCATCTCAGCTCCATAACATCGCAACGGGAGTTCCCCAGAGGAGAATCCTTAGACCAACCATCTTCAACTACTTCATCCATTACATCAATGATACTCATTACCATATAAGTGCTAGACAATGAACTTCTTGAACAAGAGAGAATCTACCCATCACCCCTTGACATTCAATGGCATTACTATCACTTCTATCAACAACTTTTAAGTTCCCACTGGCCAGAAGCACCAGCCATATAAATACAGTGGTCATAAAAGCAGGTGAGAGGCTAGGAACTCTGAGGTGAGTAACTCACACCCTGCCTCTTTGAAGACTGTTTACTATCTACAAGGCACAAGCCAAGAGTGCAAGAGAATACTGTCCACTTTCCTGGATGATGTAGCTCCAACAAAACTCAAGAAGTTCAACACCCTCCAAGATGAAAAGCAACCCACTTGATTGGTAACCCGTCCATGATCTTCAACATGCATCCCCTTCTGCACCAAGTACAGCAGCTGCAGTATGCACAATCTATAAGATGCAATACAGCAACTCACAAGCCTCATTTAACAGCGCCATCCAAACTATGACCTTTACCCCAAGAAAGGAACAAGTGCAGCAGGTTCCTGGAGGCAACACCATTAAGCTCCCCACCATGCTGCACACTATCCTAACTTGGAACAACATAATTGTTTATGCTCTGTTTCTGTATTAAAATGCTCCCTAACAGCAATATGGGTATCCCTACACACCCATGGACTGCAGCGATACAAGAAGGCATCTCAACCATCTTCTCAAGGGCAACTGTTGATGAATAATGAATGCTGGCCCAGCTAAACACGCACACATCCCATGAACAAATTTGTTTTAAAATTAATTATTGTACAGTGGGGAGGCGATGGCCTAGTGGTATTATAGCTAGACTGTTAATTGACAATGTTCTGGGGACCTGGGTTTGAATCCTGCCATAGCAGATGGTGGAATTTCAATTCAATAAATATCTGGAATTAAGAATCTAATGATGACCATGAATCCATTGTCGATTGCCAGGAAAAACCCATCTGGTTCACTAATGTCCTATAGGGAAGGAAACTGCCATCCTTACCTGGTCTAGCCTACATCTGACTCCAGACCCACACCAAAGTGGTTGACTCTTATGGGCAATAAATGCTGGCCTAGCCAGCAATGCCCACGTCCCGCGAATGAATAAAGAAGAAAAAAGAAACAAAAGACACAACTAACTTACAATCCTTGAAGCTGAAAGACAATTTTTATTGAATATTTTAAGGCCTGTTAATGAAAGAATTCCAGGAGCAGAGTGACTTTTTATTGGCTTACCACTTGGGACTGAGGCTCCTCCACTGTTCCTATCTCCCTTAATAGTCTATCAGTCAAGTCCACTAACAAAGGGACCCATCTCCACTGCAGTTGCAGGATGGAATCAGGTTTAAAATGCTCTCCCCACATTAGAACTGGGAAGTATGGAAGCATTTTGAGCAGCTCTCTGCAGCCATCTCCCATGCCAGTGAAAATTGCCAAAAATGGGAACTGGGTAATCTTGGAGTGATGTCTACCCTACATTTTTTAAAGGGCTCCCACCTCATCTCATCTCAGTGAACATCTGAGTCTTCATTTCTACATTAAGGAATGCTGTTGTAGTAGTGGGAATGGCACTACCAAATGATTCTATGGATGGTATTTTGTAGAGGCGACAGGAATTTCAGCCATAGGCTGGAAAGCGGGGTGACCCCTGCACCACCTCTTTTCAAGATGGCCAGCTACATTTTTGTGCCACTCAGGCATTTAGCAGGCCATTTGCAAGCTTTCCCTGGGATCAAGGACCTCATAGGTGGAAGTTCAGCCAATCAGAGACTAAAACTCTTCAGTACTCAGTAATACCACTGGAGAGTCAGTGACTGCTGCCGCTACTACATACGGCCAGGTTCCAAGATAAGGGAAAAACCCAAACACAAATGTGAGACAGGGTGGGAGCTGCCAGGGAGGGGCGTGGTCGGCAGGAAGAGCATGGAATGGGTTTCAATTCCCTCCTACCGTCCCAATGCCGGATCTCTCAGTCAGGAACTTAGAATGATGGACACAGCTCCAGGAGCCAGCAAACAAATACTCCAGGGTTTCCTTGTTGTGCTCCTCACATGGTGACCTGCAGCCTTTCACTGGGTTAGTATCAGCAGTGGCAGAATTAGGCCAAGTGGTGGCAGGGCAGGAAGGCTGTCTATGGGCTCTTCCTCCAAATACTTAATCATATGGAGATGAGAAGGTGACATGGCCACAGTTGTGACCCTCTCGCCCTAATAAAACAATACATAACCACCTGGATTGCATACGAAAAGAGTAACACACTAAGAGGGAATGTAAACGGAAGGAGCAGTACTACAGATTCACGCTGACCTGGTGCTGCATGTAGCAAAAGTAAGCTCTCAATTAAATAATCCAACATTTGAAATAATTATATTGTTTCACTGAGGATTTGTGATAGAATGAAACAATTTATCACCAGCAAAACAGATTCACATTTATGCTCTTTTACAGGTCATGGACTGCACAATGCCATTGATTGGGGAGCACCAGGCTGAAGACAGAGAGCTTCTAACTGAATTAGTTTTAGCCAAAATGAACAAACTGATACCAAGGACACCAATTCCCTCACCTCAGAGACCTGCTGCCACACAACAACCACAGGCAAGCCAAGCAAAGAAAATATATTAATGTATCTAATGTGCTTATCTTTTATATTTAAAGTGCTAAATGTGGTGACCTATATCATTCAGGTAACATGTCAATGTTACATTGTAAGACTTCAGTAATTTTTGCATCACAGTGTGATCTAACTCCAAATTACCGCCATTATAAAGTCATCAGGTACAATATTACCTTAGTGAGACAATGGTTTAATCCTCATGGGCCCTTTGATCATTTGCTTAAAAGGTCTGGAATCTAGAAGTTGAATTTCTCATAACATTATTACAGTACGCACAGCAACAGTTAAATTTCCTGTTAGTGCCCTGGTTATGTAAAGGCTCCAGTCTTATTAGGAATGGCAATCATTGGATTGGTGGTCTACTCGAAAATTCCCCTGATTCAACACGGCTCTGCATTTCTTTTGGGGCCTTCCATCTGGCTTCCAGAAATGCGCAGCACCGTGTTCCTTCAGGAAAGCACTGAAGTGGAATAAAGCTGCCTCATGGTAAGTTTAAATGTGCAATTTCCAAATAGTAATGAATGGATGAATGACTGAATGAGTAGGATGGGTGCATGCATGCAGTCAGTGATTATGTGGGTGAGGTAATTAGTGAGTAAGTAGGTGGGTGTTGGGTGAGCTGGATAGTTATGGAAGAGGGTGAACTGAATAGGGTGGATGAGGTAACTGGGTAAGTGTATGGTGGGTGCTGAGTCAGATTGGTCAATGAGGTGGGAAGGGTTTAAGTGGATGAGGTGAGTGGGTTAGTGGAATGGTTCGGTGAGTATGTGGGTAGGTTGGTGTGATAAGTGGGTGAGTGGATAGTTGTGGGTAGTGGATGGGGTGGGTGAGTGGGATAAATTGGTTGGGAAAATGGATGGATGGATTGTGGATTGGTCAGGTCTGGTTGACTGGTCAGGTCTAGTCTGATGTATTCAGATTAGGGTGAAATAGTCAGGTCTGATTGGGTTGGGTGACTGGGCCTGGTTAACGGGGTAGAGGTGGTTGGGACTAGTCATGGGCTCTGGGGGAGGGCAGGGGCATGGAGTTGGTTATTCAAAGGGAGCACTTGAGGGTTTGGAAGGTAGCCAGAGATTCAGTGTGATTAGGACATCAGCTGTGCAGTTACCCAGGTGCCGGAATAGGTTTTACTTTGTGAATTCCTGGGTAACTGCAGGTAAGTATATCGAAACCGGCTGAAGTCTCAAACTCCAGCTCAGAGTTGGAGTTTATCATAGAAAGTCCCAGGAGTAGGGGAGTTGCCCATCTGAAGTTCAGACTTGCTGGACAATACCTGCTTGCAAAGGTTGATGCATCAGGACCTCCATAGCGTTCTGACCTGCAGTCGTACATCTGAAGAAGAGGGTGGTAAAGGCTCGAGAAATTGGAAGATTTGGCCCAAATTATCTTTCACAATGACATTCTGACCTAGGTCAGCAACATTACTCATTTCAACGAAACTATAGCATTAACATTTTAAATACTGCCAACAATTGCATCTCCTATTAATGGTCATCAGCAGCAGTATATGTCACATAAACTGTGCTGGCAACAGCATTGTAGCATTTAACTATAAGAGGCTTACCTAGGACCTACCCTGGTATAATTACGCCACCTAATATGCCATTATTGTTTCTTTGTTACAATCACCTGATAAGTCATGTGGCCCAAGATAGCCCCACTTGTTCTAATGTATGATTTAGCAGGCTTTTATGGTGATAGGGATGAGTAAGTGCATGAAAACCATGATATTCAAACCAAAATAAACTTTATACATGAGAACTACATCTGCCAAGGTGAATTGTTTACTTTTTTTTCAAATCCATGTTTTGAATAGTCATTTTGAACCTGCCACTTAATTAATTCAATGCTGTAATCACAAACAAGCCTTTCTTGTATGAAGTATTTCATTCATAATCAATAGGTGGATCGTGATCATTTTCACCAGTTCCTTTGAGAAGCCACTGGTGCCATTTAAGAACTTTTTGGAACAACACTACTGATGCAAATAGATTCCATCTAAGTACCAGACTTAATTTGGACTCCATGTTTTCTTTTATAGGGTGGAAGTTTGAAGGAGGTACAGGCACAGACAGGCTCATTTCCTCAGCAGCGACCACCACCACAAGGTTGTTTACAGTATATTCTCGACTGTAATGGCGTTGCAGTAGGACCAAAACAAGTCCAGGCTTCCTAAAAAAAGATAAAAGGATGGAAATTTTTAGCTAAAACAGAAAAGTTTTCTGGGCAATTTTTGGCAGTGTTTCAGTGCTGACCTGGACTGTGTTTTTCTATGCAGTGTCAATTGTACTGTCTTATGTTTATTTGTCAATGTTTGTGCTCGTAATTGATGGCCATGTTTTACTGTACACTTTGTGACCTTGGGACTGCAGTTTAAGCCACAGTGTTGTAAACATTACACACAACTGTGCCTACGAGAGTCCAGTGCTGCTGTACTTCATTCAATAGCTAGATATGGTGTTTCAAAGTATTTTTTGTTGTGAGGTGAATGGTTCCAGGAGTTAATCCTTTGCTTTAACCTCGTGCTACTAGTTGTTCTGCATGGGAATTAATGGAACAGGTAAAGATCATTAGAGGTTCAAATTTATTATATTCATTTATGAATAATTTCCTGGCATTTTTATTTTTCTGCTGATGAGCAGTGATTTTGTGTGTTTTAACAATTTTTAGTGTTTTAATGCTTTTTTCCGTAGTTCGTGTAATAAATACGGCAACTCAATTTGTCATCACTCTCACAATTTTGGCATTTTAGTTTAGTGAATCATTTCACTTTGGAATGGCTTACAGAAACTCTAGTCTGGAGAGTAATTTGAGCAAAGGATGACACCAGCAGCTCAAAAGAGGCATTACAAGGCAATATTAACCCTGTGAATGTTATATATTCTTGTACTTGTTTGATTAGAGACTTTATTTCTTGTGACCTCCCATTCTCTCCTACAAATTATAACAGTTTGTTGAGATATTAGTTTCTCAGATCTCGGCATCCTTCAAAATCTTGCTGAAGTGGCCAATATTCACATTTGAACCTTGTTGTTATTTATGCATGCAGCTATTTGACCACATGAAATTACCCTGTTCAAACCTACTTTTATTCTAGAGCTACATATACTCAAAATAATTTTTCCCTCACTAGCCTCAGAGCATTGATGACGATTAAAGCATCTCTACACATTGGATGCAGTCAACTAACTAAGCAAAAAGTGTGACTGATCCCTGGACATTCCTGGGATTAACACCTCCACATATTTACTGCTTTTTTCATGTTACTTCAGTGGATATTAGCAAAAGCAGCCAGAATTTAGTTTTCTGAATTTATCTAGAAAGAATTGGCAGGCTGAATCTCTTTCCCCATGCAAAAAAAAGTTTGCTGAGGGGACACCTTACATAATTTTAAATTATGTAAGGTTTTGATGGAGTTGTCAGACAGAATATTTTCTGATGTGATGAAGAGTATAGCTAGAGGTTATTATTATAAAAATATAAGAACAAGATACAGGAGGAAGTTGCATGGCTCCTCAAAGCTGCTTTGCTGTATAAGAATGTGACTGATCTGATTATGGCCTTCCACTTTCTTGCTTACTCTTCCACCTTGATAATTCTTGACTCTCTTGTAAATCTAAAACCTGACAAAGCATTAAAAACATTCAATGATATAGTCAAATGTTCAAAAATATCCAATACTCTATTACTCTATGACTCAAAAATATTCTCTTGAGTAGAGGATTAGGTTAATGACACACTCAGAAAACAAGTTCTTCCCCAACTCTGTCTTAAATTCCCCTTGTTTTAAAACTGTGCCCACCAGTCTTTATTCCCTAATGAGAGAAAACACCTCTCAGTATTTAAGCTGTGAAGGCTCTTTGGAATCTTATGTCTTTCAATAAGATCACATTCTTCTAAATCCAATGAAAGTAGTCCAAGCCTGGCTGACCTTCATAGGACAACACCTTTGTGTCAAGAATCAACTGAGTGAACCTTTTCTGAACAATCTCCAATGCAAGTATATCTCATTAACTAAAGAAACCAAAACTAATACTCAGTACTACAGGTGTGACCTCACTAATATCCTGTACATTTGCAGCAAGACTTATTGACTTTTATTCTCAATTCCCATTCCAATTAAGGCCAACAATACTTTACCTTCCTAATTACTTCTTGTTAACTATAGCTCGATTTTGTGATTTACACATAATCACTCTGTACCATAACATTCTGCAATCTCATTCTATTTAAATAATATTTGCTTGAGATTGTCAAAAGGAGATCCAAATGGGAATTTTGGAGGCACCTATTTATTAGTGAGAATGTGGAACTTGCTACTGCAGGAAGTAGTTAAACGATAGCATAGATGCATTTAAAGGGAAGTTACACAATCTATTTAAGGAGGATTACTTTGATAGATTTAGGTGTGGAAAGATAGGAAGAGATTCAAGTGGAACATAAACATTGGCACAGTCTATTTGGGCTGAATGGATTGTTTTCTATGTTGTCTATACTATATTATCCTTTACAATTCTCCATCAATGAGTCAATAAACTTAATGACTGTCAGGCTTTTAGGTTCAGATATAACTTACTAAGAAACTACATTATGTATTATCAATTACATTATCAATTGGCCTGTACTTAGAACAGTTGAATGTGGAACGTTAACACATAATTGGGCAGATGAAGTGTGCAATTTGTGAAAAAAATTAGGAGAAGTCACTAAGTCAAAATATGCTCGAATCTTGTACAGAGTCAACAATACTATGGAGCATTCTAGCTTCTGTCTGTACCACTGGTTACAGAATAGATTTCTCAACTAATATTGTATCTATTAACAGAACTTGACACGTAAAATTAGAGTCATTGAAGCTTTAGTCATTTGATGTTCTGATCCCAACTAAATGTTGAGTTAAAACTTCTATTTTAATTAGGTATAATTAATGTTGGCAGGTGTGCCCTAGTATTTTAGTAACAGGACTTACTGTGACACATTAAAAAAAAATTATGGGCCACAATGTCTTATATTCCCCACAGAATTTTGAAACCCAAAAGCATCTTGATCTGAAACTAAATAAATCCTGAAGAAATCAGAGTGGTTTGTTCACAAATAATTTTTTTAAGGTCAAATAAAGTTTTGTTCCTCATCGGTCAAGTTAAAGTGAATACATTAACATGACAAACTTGAATATCTTTGGCTTTCAAACATCAACAAGATACGCAGAATGGCAATTCCCAGAAGTTGGCACTTGTGAAAACACAACTGATTTCATGTGCATTCATTCCCTAGAGCAGCACTTTCAGATCACTTGACTGGATCCACAATGCACAAGGACTGAGCAAACTTCATACAATCCAAACACATTGGAGCCAGACAAGTGCCGCAAATTAGCTTGTTTTTGTACCAAAAAATTTGCAGATTCCTCAAGAAATATCTGCAAATTCCAAACATTTATATTTTAAAAAATCAGCATCCAACCTAACATGCTGAAAATCAAAACTTGTTGAACACAGACAATCCAAGTCTCCTCACAGACAGCAAAAATCAAATTATTCTATTACCCTCAAACAACCCAAGCACTCATGTGATATGCTATAATTCCTACCCTTTCAAAAATCTAAACCCCTGTACAATAAAAGTCCAATCTCAATAAATCAAAAATCCATCCTACATACATGAAAACTGCAATCCCCTCCACAAAAATCCACCCTTCAAACAGTAAAATATTAGCATAATATGGCATTAAACATCCAAATCTCACATTAAAATTTTAACATGAACACTGCATGTTTTTCACTTTGTTTCCTTCATTGTCTTCTACTCCTTAACCAACTCCATCCCATTACTGCCTTTTACCACCTTTGGTGAACTGTCTAATACCACCAATACTGCCTTCGCAGATGGAAAATCAAGGTTTAAAACACAGTGATACTGGTTCTACAAGTCCTACATTTTGAAGTTTACAAGACTGGTTGGATCAGTTTGTTTCATTCACCAGTTTTACTGTTTATCATTCTAGGTTGCCACTCCCACTGCAATCACTGCCCTCCATACTTAAATGCACCAATCACCAATGTATCATCAATGTCCACTGCTACCTGGGAAACTTCTGTAAATTGCACAATTGAACATCTCAGTGTCTAAACTACTTGGGTCCAAAAACAGATAATGTTATGTTCATCACAATGTAGAGCATCACATACTGAGGGCTCCTACTGGAGTTGTGAGATGGGAGGAAAATACACATTTAAATTGGTGGAACATGACATTGGCATAATCAGTAAGTGATATTCAAATCCAGCATGTAGCCTGTGCTACACTATAAGTGTATTATAAATTTTCCTACACTTGCTTTGACAAATGCACAACAGTCCACAGGTTTCAGACCACGTAAGTAAAAAATCTACTGGCATTTCTCCTATCCTGTAGGACTATGTAGCATGTCTGCAAGAAGTGAGAGTTTCCAAATTTATAACTGCAAAGCTCATCTACTAAAGAAATATCCTGGAAAACAGGGTTAAAATGTGCTTCCAATTTTACAGGCTTGAATAGACAGATATGTTCCATTTGTTTTCAAACTCAATTTCAGTGTTTTGTAGAAATTAAATAGGGAAAATTAACCAAAAGGTCAGTCTTCTTTATATTCAAACCACCCCCGCCAAAGAAAACAAAATCAGTTGATCCATTATTTTCTTAATCAATATTGTATTTACATTCTTGTTTACAAGGACAAATGAAGGGATTACTGAACATCATAGAGAAAAATAAAACATGACTTTTCAATCTTGTATTGGCTTATACCATAGCTGTTTCAATATTTTCTGAGAAGAATGGCCATCATTCCCGCAATAAAGTATTTTACTTTATTTTAATATAGCAGGTGCTACAAACAAATCTGATTTAAAGGAATACATTTTCAGCCCCCACTGAACCAAGAGTGGCGGTGGGCTGCCGGGCCTCCCAAGCCCATCCTAACTCTGGGCCATTTTCCTGGAGGTGGGCTAGAGGAATTCAGGGCTTGCCCTCTGCATGCAATGGGAAGCTAACTGTTCCAATTAAAGGAATGTAAGGGAGGCATCATGGACTTAAAAAGGCTCTTCCTGACAGTGGGGTCTTGCTGCAA